TCTGAGGATTCCTAAATGTCATACTACTAAAATGGAGGATCTGGCATCAGAAACATCTCTATGGAGAAGTAGTATAATTTAGTGGTTGAGGCTCAGACTTTAGAGCCCGACTGTGCTGGTTCACATCTCAGGTTTGTCACCTGTTAATTGCATGGCATGAGCCTCAGCTTCCTCCAGTGTAAAATGATGGTAGTAATGAATTGTACCTTGTAGGGTTGTGCAGGTATTGACTCAGGTCAGGCGTGTAATGGGCTTAGCACAGCTCCTGGCACACAATAGGTACTTCTTAAATGTTAAATGCTATTATTATTTACTAAAGAGAGAATCCTTTTGTTTTTCTTTTTTTAAATGTCCTTGACTCTCTCTCTCATTTATACTTTGAAGCCAGTTGCTTCACTATCCCTTCCTCTGCTGGTTTGGGGTGCAAAGGATAACCAATTTGCACATGAACATTTTTTTCCCCATATTATTTACAGCATCATTTAAGCTAATACAGCACAGTTCATTTTAATCCAAGTGCTAAGGGCCCTTTAAACCAGCCATTCCTTATTTGTTCTGTTAAAAAAAGAAAAAGAAAGTCCTTTGGTCTCATGTTCCTTTATTGTATTTTGTCAGGCACTGAGCACATATTGGATACTATGTAAATGTGAAATACGCTAACAATAGTAACTGAGACAGATGAGAAACTCAAGAAAGCAAAGTCACCATTTTGAATTTAGCTTTTTATTGATGGGCTGAGTGATTTGGGAGAGACAATGTGGCTCCACGGCTAAAGAGCCCACAGGGATTCAGAAGGCAGAGGTTTGAATCTCAGTCACCCTGGCAGCAGCGATGGTGACCCTGGCAGGTGGCTTCCTTCCCCTGGACCTCAAATTCTCCCCATGAATACTGGGCTTCATGCCACAAAACCACATCCCAAGGATGTTCATCCAGGGACACTATATGTGGTTGTGCAGACTGTACACTGCACAAGGGTGCCAGCTGAGGGGGTAAGTGGGGGCTGAAATGCATCCCATTCTCCACTCATCAATTTGTGCACAATGGTGATGGGCCATGTCCACCTGGAGAAAGGGACACTTTTTTTCTACTTTGCACAAAAGTACCATATGGGCTAGTGAAGGCCTGTAGGAAGCAGTGTGACAGTGATAGGGCACAGTTCTTAGCATATAGGATGGATATATTCACTCAACACACAGTTACTGAACACCTACTATGTGCCAGACCCTGTTCTAGGGGCTAAGGCTATGGCAATGAATATAAACAATTTCTGCATTTGGCTCCTCTTTTTCCTTCAACAGCCTACCCTCCCCTATGCGCATTCAATCTATTAGCAAGTCCTGCTGACTCAATCTGCAAAATATCTGTCAGATCCACCCACTTTGTTCCACTGTCAGCACTTCTTTTCATCATCTTTTACCTAGCCTACTGCAACAGATGGGCTTCCACTTCTATGCTGGTCCTCCAAACAAAAGCAAGAGTGATTGTATTAAACCATGAATCAGATAATATCACCCTCCTTGTTTAAACTCTTCGGTGACTAAAATTTAATCCAGGGTCCTCACCATGGCCTCAAAGCTGTGCACACCTGGTCCTAAATACCTCATTATGTCCTCTGCATCACTGAACCCACGCTCTCTCCATTAGTCAGGGTTCTCCAGAAAAATGGGAACCGAGGGGCTATGTATGTATGCATGTATGTATCTCTACATCTATCTTGCATTTATGTATCTGTGTGTGTATATACATATGTATATATCTATGTACCTCTCATATATGTATATGTACATATATATATGTACACATAAAAGAGATTTATTGTGAAGGGTTGGCTCATGTGATTATGAAGGCTGAGAAGTTCCACAGTCTACTTTCTGCAAGCAGGAGACCCAGGAGAGCTGATGGTATAATTCTAGTCTGAGTCTGAAGGCCTGTGATCCAGAGGAACTAGTGGTGTAAACCCAAGCCCAAGGACAGGAGAAGAACAACAGACCAATGTCCCTGCTCAGCAGACAGGCAAGAAAGGAAGGAGTCCTCCCTTCCCCTGATTTTTGTTCTGTTCAGGCCCTCAGCAGATGGGATGAGGCTCACCCACCCATTGAAGTGGGGAGCAATCTACTTTACTGAGTCCATCCACTCAAATGCTAATCTTATCCGGAATCATCCTCAAAGATACACGAAGAGATAATGTTAAATCTGAGCAACCTGTGGCTCAGTCAATTTGACACATAAAACTAATAATCATACCATCCCAACAAAAACTGATCATTTTGTCCTTCAAATAGCCTAGCTTTCTTTGTATGTCTAATCCCTTTGGCCAGAACATTTTTCCCTGGTTCTCCCTTTGACCATCTCTTTCTCATCCTTTGGTGTTCAGTGGAAAGGTCACTTCCTCAGAGAGGCCTTCCTGGACCACCTTGTTAAAATAGTGTCCATCACCATTCATTGCCAGGATGTTCTATCACAAAGTTGCCCAGCTCAATTTATAAAGCCCAGTTCTTTATTTTCTGTCTTATCTGTTAGATTGTAAGCTCTGTAACAGTAGGAAACATGCTTGTTTGTTTTCCACTGTATGCTCCTTTAGCATCTGGCTAGTCTCTGGCACATAGTAATAAATAACAATAAATATTTGCTAAATGAAGTTGTTACAAGGAATTTATCTAATAGGGGAGTAATCACCATGACATAATGTAGAGATGCTGGTATGATAGAGACAGTGATGTGCTGGCAAACTGACTCTACCAAAAAAAAACAAAAACAAGACTCTGATTGTTATTTGCTGATTGGTGCTATAAATACTGCCATCACAGCTAATTTCAAGTTGCCAAAACTGACTTAATATTCCTGAGTATTTATTTAACTGTTGTATCTTCAAAGATGGTATGAGTTGGCTCTAGCATATAACTGGAAGAGATCAGCATGAGTGTGATGTGTACCTAAGAAAGAGGCAATAGGTCATCCCAGGGGAACTCAGCAAAGGCTTCCTGGAGCAGATGATACTTGATTTGTGTTTTCACAAATGGCTCAGGCCTGTTATCTCTAAACTGGCTAGCGCAGCCCTGCTCCCAGTAGCCCACATTCAACTGCTCCTGGCTTCCCTACTCAGCTCATCTCTGCTTGCTTAGGAGTTAATTGCCTGACTCAGTGCAGTCCTCAGAAAATCTTCCATGTGGTTGGTGTTCTCCTGGGCTTGCTTTTAGTCCAGCAGAGGAGAATTAGGGTAGAAGTTAGTCACTGGAGAAGGGAGGGGTTTTCCAAGTAGAGGGGCAGCTTATGCAAAGGGAAGAGAGCAAGTGCAAGTCAACAGTTTGGTAAATCTAGATGTATAGGCTGTGGTGATTTGTACTCTGGTTTGGGGCAGGTGGCAGAGGGAAAGGGAAAGATTATTTTTCCTGAATAGTTCTTACCTTAGCTGTCAATTGTGTTTTGCTGTTGTTATTGTTGGTTTTGTTTTTGGCATAGAATCATTTGATTAACATTTGTCTCTTCCAAGAGAATGTAAAATCCACAAGGGCAGGAACTGTCTTGTTGACTATTATTTTCTCAGCACCCAGCACAATGCCTGGTATGTGGTAGCCAGTAAAATACCTGTGGAATAGCTGAATTACGTGGGGGAACTTTTAAAAAATACTATGCCCACCTATCCTAAAATAGGTTCTGCTATAAATCTGCCTTCTTTGATCTTCCAACCATAATATGGGATGGGATAGGGGGCTTGGGAGTAGTGAGGCTGGTGTCTGTATTTTGTAAAGCCACCTAAGGGATTCACCTCCATTCCTCTTCCCAAATTGTTAGGTGGATCCTTTCAAGGAGTTTACCAAAAGGGTGAAATGTTTAAACTTGCCGATTGCTTAAATGGGTCAGATGGCGGTAGGGTGGACTCAAAAGAGGTGCTGAGACTAGTAAGGATGGCAATGCAGTAATCAGGTTAAGACATGATGCGGGTTTGAGTTAAATCACTGGCAGTGGGTATGAAGAGGGAACCAATTCAAGAGATTCTCGGGAAGTAGACTCCACAAAATTTGGTGGCCATTTGGGCATGGGTGGAAGGGAAGTGAGAGAGAGAGGTATCTAAATTGAAGGTTGTAATGAACATTAGTGAATAGGGCAGAGCGGGTAGTTCACTTTTTAAGTTGTTACATTTGAGATGCCTTAGGGGCACGGATAAGGAGGGATTGTCCATCAAGTTGGGAATACAAAAATTGAGCTCACGAGAGAAAGGGATGGGTCTCCCCTCCTCTATTACCGCTTGGAGAACACTAGTATTTGAGAGGTGGGTTAAGAAAAACATTCCTTGAAGGAGACGGAGAATGACTGAAGAGAAAGAAAAAAAACCTGTATAATGACACTGTAAACGAGTGATAAAGAATGCCCAACAACGTCAAATGGTGCCTAACACTTAAGTTAGAGGACCTCAAGATACCTCTGATGAGTTTGGCGACAAGGACACCGATGGCAACAAGGGCATTTTCTGCGGGGGCAGAAGCTACAGTGCAGAGGACGGACGAAGTGGAGGCAGCGATTTACACTACTTTTTTCAGGAAACTTGGCAGTGAAGAGAACATGAGGGAGGAGTATTATCAAGCAGTATGTGAGGCTATTTGAGCACGTTTATAGCTTAGAGGAAGCCGTAAGGGCTGATAAGAGCGAAGAGCAAGCGGCTCTCTGACCACGTCGTCTCGGCAGCCTCCTTCCCTCACGTGACCCGGAGGCAGCCCGCGCGGAGACTCCAGCTCCCAGAAGGACCCGCGGCGCGCGGGCGGTGGGGCGGTGTTGAGGCCCGACGCGCGCCCCAGAGGCGCGAGCGGAAGAGCCCAAGCTTCAGAGAGGCGGCGGAAGCGGAGAGCGACGGTGCCCCCGGTAACGAGAAGCTTCGCGTTCTTGTCCCTCCCTCCTACCGCACCCATCTTGGGGCTTGTTGGTTCCACTTCTTCACTTACACCTGGGACAAGACTTCTCCCCTTTTTGTTACCGGTATTTTTTTCCCTCACGTGACGCGCGGGGCGGGCTCCCGCCTGGGGCGGGCTCCCGCTTGGGGCGGAGGTTACTGGGAAGCTCCGGCCCTTCGACCCCTGCGGGCCCTAGGTTGCTGAGGACCCTCCCGAAGCTCACCTGCTCTTCCGGGGCAGCATACCCGCTGTGGGGCCACCCCTCAAATACTCCTTGAGGAGTGGACATTCCTTTCGCGGGTTTCAACAGGTACTGAGCGGGTCTGAGGCGATGCCCACCCCCACATTCCCGGGTTCGGAACTGTAGCCAGCAGATGCCGCCCCAAGACAGATAGGGGCTGCTCGTGATTTCCGGGTCGCGAGCGGAGTCCGCTCCTTTGCCCCGGAGCCCGGGGCTATGGGCTGTGGGCTGGGAGCGAGCGGTCGATATGAGAGGACGAACTTCCTGGTTTTCTTGGCCGGCCCTCGGAAACCCCAAGTCCGATTATTAAAGTTTTCCTTATCAATAAAGCCGCCTTGCAGAGTTGAGGAAGGGAAGCAGCTCAGGATTTGGAGTCCGATGTTCTGGGAGCAATCTCACGTCTGCCACTTGCTGAACCGTTTACCGCAGCCTCAGTTCCTTATCTATAAAATAGGGATAATAGTCTGGCTCGCCTGCCTCCCGGTGTTGTGGATTTCAGCAGAAGTGACAGATGTGAGAAAGTATATAACTTTACTGTCCCTTCTCCACTCCAGGTTAGTTGAATTTTAAAACCACACTCGTGTCTTTATGAACCTGATCATAAATATGATCATGATTTATGTGAAGGTCAAATGAGTTAATAGGGAAAAAGTGTCTTTGGAAATAAAGAGGAGCCATACAAGTATTTTTAAGCCATGTTTCTGGTGAAGAGGTGACATTAGGGCCCTATCACCTGTTGGAGGCAGTTTCAAACCTCATCTGGATGTTAAAATCCACCAGAATTTGGACCCTTCCCTCTCCGCGCAACACACACACCTGTGTACACCCCTTGCTCTGTTACAAGCAACCACTCTTCTGCACTACTCAGGTACAGGTGTCTCAGAAAGCACTTAATCTTCCCCAGCTGTGGTGCTAAACTAATGCCTCTCTCCATCAGGGCTTGTCTTTTTCCCCTTTTCAGATTCTACACCTGCTAAACCTGTCTCTAATTTTCTAACACAGTCCCACTAACCTTGTATGCATACTAGCTGAAATATTGGCATAATTTTTACTTGTCCTAGATATATTGTGTTAAGAAGTCTGGTTTCCTCATAGTTAGAATTCAAAATATAAATTCCTGTCTGCTCTTTTTACTGGGAATTAAGCTCTGAGACTCTAAGCAGGTGGTTTGTCTTACTCTGGTTTTTATGGATTTGGAGGTGTACTAATTAAGTAGTCTTACTTTGTATTTTTCTGAAATTACTGGTTAAAGAATACTTGAATGTAGCTAAAAAAAAAAAGGATCGTATTGAATTAGTGAATTAGTTGAATATTCAAAGTTGGACAAGTTTGAGTTCAAATCCTAGTGCTGTGACTTCTAGTTTATGACTTTTGGCAAATTAGTTGACCTCTCTGCCTGTTTACTAATCTCTAAAGTGGAGATAATAGCACTTACCTCAGGAGGTGTTTATAAGGATTCAATGAGAGGATAAAGAATTTAGGAGTGCCTGGAGAAAGTGCTCATTATTTTGTTGCTATTGTAATTGATGACTATGATGATGATAAGTGATGATAATTTTAAAGTATTTTCTTGGGATTCCTTTTTTTCTTTGTGAAATGAGGATAGTTATTCTTAACTCATAAATACTGTAAACAGAAGTTCTCAGATTGTAGGGTTTTGGTCTTTTCCAGCAATTGCATTTTATTTGAGGATTATATTATGCTGTTTTTCACTTTTAAAGGTTTTCAAAATGCTGACTTGAAGAGATTTTTGGGACGTGCTGTTGGACTGATGCTTCATTTATTACCTGTAGTAAGAATGTAGTTTTGTGTCTGCACATTATAGCTTGTAGCAGAACAGTTATCTATGTTTATGGCTTAGATACTGACTGTTTACTAGGGCAGAGTTTTACAGAGCATTTTGTGTCTTCCCCCCCTCCCACTTGTTTTTTTTTTTTTTTTTAAGCCAGACTATTTGACTAAAATTTCAGCCTCATGGGTAGCGTCCAGAAGATTTGGTAATCCTCTTTTTGAAGGTGGAGACTCTTAGTGATGGTGCATTGGTGGCACTGGTGTGTGTGTGTGTGTGTGTTTATCTGCAGGGAGTGACAGTTGAGAGAAACCAAGGAGGAAAACCTAATAGAGAAAAAAGATTTGTTGGTCAAAGCGAAGTCTTAGGGTTAACACTTGACATGTTTATTTTTCATTCCTTCGAATGCTCTTGACTGTAAGATGCTTGCAGATTCACATGTTTAGGAAATGTTTCCTGACTCTTCTGATGTGGTATCCCCGGCTCTACATTGCCAGTTTAATTCTTACCTTCAAGTTTGAATCAGCAGGATAACCATTTTTTTCACCACAGACTTGTATGCAAAGCTATGACAATGGAGTCGCTTCCATTAAAATCTACTTTGTGTGCTATAATGTGTTGTTTTTTCCTTTGTTTTAAATACTTTGGTTTCTTGACTTTTCTTGACCTTTTTTTAGTTAAAACTTTTTGGCAGATAGACTCTTTCTCAGCTATAGCATCTAAGTGTGCATAGTGAATGCTCCTTTAGTAATGACTGCTGAATAGTTCTGAATAAGAACATTTTTTTGATTGTCTTATGTCCCTAAGGCAGGTTCTGGAGAGACCAGATGGTACTGTGGAAATAACCTAAGATTTGGATTCATACACATAGAAGTTTGAATCCAGACTCTGCTACTTACAAGTTTCTTGACTTTGGTTCATATAATCATTCTGAGTTCATTTTCTTATCTGTAATAATACCAACCCTGCATGACTGAAAAGGTTAGAGGTTATTTGAACTAGGCACATCTAGCCAGGCTTAATAAAATCAAGATGGTACTTAAAATTTTTTTATTGTATTTTTTTCATAGTCACAGATTTTGGTGATACATCTATATTCACTTAATGCTTCACATGGTCAGTGTATTTTTTTGTTGCCAAAGTTAAGGTTGTTGACAATGACCATAGTACCCTGAAACAGCAAAGTTAATTGACTGACATGTTTGACTCTGTGTACTTGTCCTCATTAGCTCCATAAGCTGTTCACAAAATACCTCACCAGAATGAATTCTATGACTGGTATATTGTTGACTTGACACTCATGCACTCATTAGACATAATAGAAATAAATGAGCTAATGCCAGAAGTAAAACTGTAGATTTTTTATTAGGAACCTGTATAAATACAAGACTAACCCTCACACTGTATAAAACTGATGATCTATAGGATGGTCTTTAACAACCACTAATCTGAATTACAATTTAGTTGACATAAATTGTATTTGTTGCAGACCCCCCACTCATAGGAGAAGTGAGTGGAGGTAAGCTGCTGATGTCTGAAAGAGAACCCTACTTCTGCTATGCCACCAGCAGAAAATGCACTCTTAGCTAGTGGGGAGAACATTTAAAGTTCTCCATTAATGAGCCCAGCAGGATGGATGAAGCCTGGGTAACTCCTAAGAGCTTATTGAATTACAGAGAAATTCCAGTTGTCAGAGCTTTAGGTAGAAGAGAAGTTATAGGGTGTTTCTCAGCAGCACTAAGTCTGCAGTTGAAGAGGTCTCCTTTATAAAACATAGACCAGTTGCTCCTCATCGGTTGTGTGCATTTTTTCACTGTTGCACGCTAGCCTTCTGTATAGTTTTCATTCTTCCAATTCACTTTTTAGGTTTATTAATATTTGTTGTCCCTCCTGTATCTTTTTTTATATCAAATATGGCTGGTTTCAGACTAGGATAAAAATAGAGAAGCAGAGAAGTACTGTTGGAAATAATAGGTTCTGGTGTCTAGTATCATGAGGTTCCAATATAACATGGGTTAACCTGTAAATATGATAGTACAGGTTTCTGGAATAGGCAAGTGACTGACAGTTCATAACTATTTAACTTGGTGCAGAGGCAAAAATGTGGGTAAAAGGTTGTGGCAGTACTCCTTAGTATGACATTTGCCTCTTAGAAAAGACCGTGTATAGTGTTGATATTGGCTTTTAGTTGGGCTGTTTCAAGTTCTTTGCCATGGAATACCTGAAGAATATTAAAAAAGGAAAACACTTGGATTTAAATCCTAACCTTGAATTTATACATGTAGTCCTGTTTGTTTTCTTATCATCCTTAAAATAGGGATAATAATATCAACGCTGCTTGTTTATAAAGATTAGAGGGAAAAGTTAATAAGGATGTCCTGGAAATAGGTTGGGTAACTGGAGGAGAGACTGACAGAAAGGCAGAGTCCAAGAGAGGAATACAAACACAAGTACATGTGTGCACAAACACACACGCACACAAACAAATGGGTAACTGGAGGAGTGACAGAAAGGGGAACATAGTAGACTGAGAGCAAAGGTCACTTAAGAGACATAAGGGAAGTCAGAAGCTCTGAGCAGCAGAGGCATGTAGAAAGGAGAGTATAATCAGGGATGTAGAAAGAAGGACGAACTTAGAAATGACAGACAGATGTAGAGAAGGAGGCAGAGGGTGCAGGAGGGACCAACCAGGAGGGCATGAGGGCATGGCCAAAGATGGAAAGCTTGAGTTAGTTTTTATCCGTTATTTGAGGAGACCTTGTAAATATTTGTAATTGGCTAGGAAAGGGAAGAAAAGTAGATATTAAGTAACACGTTTATGTAGTTTTTTTTTGGTATCATTAATCTACAATTACATGAAGAACATTATGTTTACTAGGCTCCCCCTTTCACCAAGTCCCCTCCACATACCCCTTCTCACTATCCATCAGCGTAGTAAGATGCTATAAAATCACTACTTGTCTTCTCTGTGTTGTAGAGCCTGTCCCGTACCCCCTCCACATTATACATGCTAATTGCAATGCCCCCTTTCTTTTTCCCGCCCTTATCCTTCCCTTCCCACCCATCCTCCTGAGTCCCTTTCCCTTTGGTAACTGTTAGTCCATTCATGGGTTCTGTGATTGCTGCTGTTTTGTTCCTTCAGTTTTTCTTTGCTCTTATACTCCACATATGAGTGAAATCATTTGGTACTTGTCTTTCTCCACCTGGCTTATTTTACTGAGCCCTTTATCATTATGTAATGTCCTTTTTTATTTCTTGTTACTTTCTTTATTTTGAAGTT